TCGTCTTCCGTAAAATCAATACAATGAAAGATGAGTAAATTGTGTATAGTGCGTTCATCAACCACAATATTCAATTTTTAAGTAAATTCTCATAAATTTGTATTGAAAATTGAAGCCGAAAAATTCACAATTTTGAGGATTATCTGGGAAAATAAAGTTAATAATTGGCGGAATAAGTTTAGAAGAAGACAAGCATGAATGAAACTTTTAAATGTAACGGGTGCGGAAGAAACGGCTAGGGTGAAAAAAAAATTGTTTTAAAGGGATGCGGATGAAGGAAAAAAAAAGGTAAGTAATAAGCTTAGATCGAGAGTGGGACCCGTAAGGAATAATACAATCAATTCAACATGATAAGGTAAGGGAGTGTCAAGAGCCAATAAAGGGGTGGGAATAGCGCCAGCCTTTACAAATTAATAAAAAGAAAAGATTTAGAGTAATGAAAAGAAAAAACAAACACTAGAGAACTATAGATTATCGGTAAGAGCTTTATTTACAAAAAAAACCTAGTAAAAATGAAATTGGCATTTACATTCTTGCTTTGAATATTGTGATTCACAGAAAGACAATTTTTTTAATGGCATTGAAGCATGACATTGAACCCAAGGTTATGCTCCAAATCAATTGAGCTACGGCTTAAACTTGAGCTTAGAGTTGTACAATCTACATGGGCCTCAAATTCTAAGTTCTTGGACCTTTCTTTCATTCTTGCAAGCTTTCTCGCTTGGGCCTCAACCATAGCACTTCATCGTCACGGATTATGGTTAGTTAGTGCATAACATGTTTGGCGAAGAAGTGGAACCATTAGATTAGAAAGGAAAGCGAGACAACCCATGAGATTGAAAGATGAACACATAGAATTTAAGTGTCCGTTTGTTTCGCGAAAAATACACGATTTGAAAAATATTTTCCTAAAAATGATTTGGTCATATCGCTTGGAATAATTAACCAATAAAAAATATTTTCATTATTGATAATAATTTATGCCCAAACATTTTCTTAGACAATAAAAATGTTTTTCATGCATTCATTTCTGTAGGCGAAATAAATGATAATTTTTAAGAAAATCTTTTCCAAATCTTTCATTTTCCGCGAAACAAATGGACCCTAAATGAGCATTTCAATTCCTATATTAGGTCGTGTCGACAGGATGGGTCGGAATAATTTTGGGTGAATGTGGAGACCAGTTTGGCCATTTGTCCAATCGGCAGCCACTGAAGAGGATGTTCGTGAAGTGGCTTCACAACCTCTTCGAGACTAGACCGTTCTCGTCTCCTGATTTAGATTTCGTTCTAGATATGAGGATTTTACTCTCCCAAACTAGATCTAGATATAGATATGGGAGTTCACTACAATTATTTGATCTGTGTTCTTTCAATATATTGATGTTGATGTCTCTGCACGATGATGGTGATGAGGCTGTTGAACCTAGACGCACACATGGAGTAGGAGATCTCGTCATATGCTCATTAATGAATCCGGCGATCGATCGCCGAATGCTTACGATAGTAACTGTTCTTGAGAGATGAAAGTGTACTTTTAGTTGCAACCTGCCAACCTGTGCTTTGTAATTTGCATTATAGCATTTATTTTGTTTTGTAGTTATTTGGGATTTGCTAAGCTTGAAAGGCTTTTATGTACCTTTCGATTATTATTCTGCGGAATGAATGAAATCTTTCTTTCGATAAAAAAATTCTAACTCCATAACTAATAATGAAATAGATGGTTGAGAGACAAAATTACTCCAATGACTATCAACATTATATCCTTTCTATTGGGAATCATGATTCCAAACTAATTAATCAATCAATCATAATTCACTAATTCGTCAAATAGGATTCCTCCTCAATTATTTATCAGCACGTGCGGCCTGGGAAGGCTGCATTATTCCTTGGCCGGTCATGTGCTGTAGGCAGTGGTGCACGTGACGAGAGACCCACATGACACGTGATGAACCATTTGACATGTTGGGCATGCCAAAACTTCCAAGAAAGTAGGGTCTTTTCTTGGCTAATTGTGATTGCAAATAACCCCCCCTAATCTTTTTCCGACCAACTCAAAGTCATACAGATTTTGCTTTCACCGGTCTCGACCTTTATGAAATTATAACTAATTAATGTGTTAGAAAGTTACCGGTCGAAGGAGATCAAAGGTATATAAAGAGTATACAAATGCCACTGTCGAGTGATGTGACAAGTCGGATTTGGAGTGACACGTGGAATTCAATTGACACGTACACGCGAAAGGGGTAGAACTTAGCTTTGATATCATGATAAAAAAGTCAAATCCAACAACTTAAACTTCTAGGTGCAGAAAGACAACATATATATTGCTAATCGGTATATGATATTTCAAGTTGCTGGACTCGAAAAGTTATCCTCGCTCGCAAGTCCTAAAACCCAGGTTTTAGGTGCGTTCATCCTTCTATCCAGGTTTTGCCGGCCAATTAGCTAGTGAGGCATGACGGCTGGGTTGTGCGGGCGCGACCAGAGGTCAAAGATTGAGGGAGGTCTAACGATGGTGGTTGCGCGGGCTCTACCGGCGGCTGTGCAAATTCTCTCTGTGTTCTCGTGGAAGAAGAAGGTGCGGATGCAGTGCAGCCCTAACAAAAACTTTTTATTGTTCTGGTTGGGCTAAGGTATATCCAAAACAAGTCGAGGCCCAATATGTCCAAAACAATGCCCAACTATTTTCACCATTACTCGAAACAAGCTGACGCTCGACCCGACCTAATACGAAAATTTCTGGGTCGAGTTGATTCGGTTCGTGTTTAGCTGGGTTCTTTTGACAGCCATAATTTCAGCATAACATGTGAAGAATTTTCGTAAAATGAGGTTGTGAAATGGAGAAAGAACTAGATATATAGTAGCCAATTTTATAGGCTTCTTCATCATGTTTGTCCTTCCATGAATTTTTGGTCAAGGAGAGCAGAGTCACACCACTAGGTCGATGGACCGTAAAAGCTAAAATGGTGGGCATTAATTGAAATTAAATAGACGCCTATGGACTTCGGTAGGATTTTTTGTTTATGGTGTGGTTGAGGCCTGCCTAGCAAAGACCAAGGCTTGCTAATTTATCAAAGGTTGGGAGACACCCATGACGAGCACGGACCATGTTGTATCTATTATTCTCTTCATCATGCCAACCCTCAAAAGCCGAAAATTTTGGTGTCATTAAATGGAGAAACTCTAAAGGCTTTGTTTGTTTCGAGAAAGATAAATAATTTGAAAAATATTTTATTAAAGTTGATCGCCTGTATAGTTTGAAATAATTTGCCAATAAAAAATATTTTCATTATCGACATCAATTTATGTCTAAATATTTTTGTGGACGATGAAACTATTTTTCATTTGTTCGTTTTTATAAGCAATTATTTTTAAGAAAATATTTTCTATATCATTCATTTTTCGTGAGACAAACGTAGCCAAGTGGGACAAAAATATTCGGTGATCCATAAAATCGCATGACCTTTTTTACTAAAAGAATTCGTTAACTTTTATTGGTATGATTTTTTGTGAAAATGAAACAAGAAAATTGATGGTACCCGAGTTCGGCAGATGATAATGTGGTGCTTTGAAATCACCTAAAGATTTGAAAGAAAAGATGGGTGCCGTCACGAATTGATATGTACTTTCGGGTCCTCCGAAGCTGTGAATAATTTCCAAAACTTGATATAAATAATTACACTTAGGCTCCGTTCGTTTAGCGGAAAATATTCTCCTTTTGAAAAATATTTTCTCGAAAGTCATTTTCCTGGAAAATGTTTTAGAACATAATTTTAGGTGTTCGGCGACCAATATAAAAAGTTTTGGAAAATATTTTTCGTCGGCGACCGGTCGCCGCCGCCGCCGCCGCCGCCGAAAAATATTTTTAGAAACTTTTTCATATTGGTCGCAAACACCGGAAAATTATGTTAGAAAAACATTTTTGGAAAATGACTTCCGGAAAATATTTTTCAAAAGGAGAATATTTTCCGCCAAACGAACGGAGCCTTAAAGTAGAAATGGTTGTTTTTATTCCCTAGGGGTGAAAAGACTCTTGGAAGCTAAACTAGGTAAGGGAAGGTGTAGGGAAATTCATTTTTCAGGAAATAATTATGGATATGATATTGCCTTTTGTTTTTTTTTTTCACTTCTATTTACTTCTAAAACATTTATTATAGTGTTCAAACAAACCATGTGTTTTATCGTTATTAAGAGTGTTGTTTACTTGATAGAAAGAACCAAATTTGAAAAGGTAATGGATGGACAAAAGTCCAAAATAAATTATGTTTTCAACGTGTTATATTGTTATAAGGAGGGTGGATCTCGATAGGTTAAATCAAATCTGAAATTTTACCTATTTGAATGACATGAATCTTCGACCAAAAAAAAAAATTGACATGAATCGATTATGATTTACCACTTTAATTCGAAACAAACTCCTCGTCGTCTCGTGTTCCAAAATTTCCAAAATTGATCAGCATCTCAATTACTTATCAATAAAGTAGATATCCTTGACAAAAAAGAAGCAGTAGATATTGATTTACACCATATACTTTGTAAAAAATTCAACCCACTCTATCCACGTATTTACATATATTCTTATACCCTTTGTTTCGCGAAACGTGGATGATTCGAAAATCATTTTATTTAAAATAATTAGCCAACGAAAAACGTTTTTTTATCTATAGCATTTCATGTTTAAATATTTTCATGAAAAATAAATGAAAAAATTTCGTTCGTTCATTCCATCCGATAAAAAATACAAGCGATCATTTCGAGACGAATATTTCTTAAATTTTTTCATTTTTTGTGAAACAAAATCAAGTTTTGGTTACAAATTTTTTTTCGAGGAGGCACCAAACACTTTCTTTTCGTGACGCGCAGGGCCACCCCGCAGAACGCACATCCCACACGGCTCGCACCATCCTTTTCCGCCGTTTGTACAGCTCTTGCCGACACCTAATTTGTCCTCCTCCATCATCGTACCCCCAACCTTCACCTCCCATTATATATGCCCCGACCCTACTCCGATCTCCATTGATTCCTCCCCAACAGCAGCAGCAGCATCCCAAGAAGATCAAGATCCGACCGCCGCTCGCGGTGGCGCTGGTGGTGGCAGGCCTTCTTGCCAAAAGGATCCCTCCCGTCCGCGAGACGCCATGGCCGCCGGCGCTGCAGAATGCCTCCTCCGCTGCGTCTACGAGGGCTGCATCCCCGGGTGCGACTCCGGGGTCGAGCGGCGGCCGTACCACCGGAACTGCGGGTGCGCGCTCCACAAGAAGTCCCGGAGCAACTGCCCCCGCCCGGCGGGGAAGGGCAAGGGCGTGAGCGTGTCGTACCCGATCAGGAGGGCGTGGAGCGAGGGGTCCCTGGTGCTGATGGCCTCCGCGGGCTCGTCGCCGTCGTCGTCGCCGGTCGTGGGGAGGTCCCAGGTGGTGGGTTCTTGCGACGGGGACAGAGAGATGGATGATGGGTTTTGTCTGAAGATGTGAAAGTTTTGATCTTTTCTATGGTTTTTTCTTCGTTTTCTTTTGGGTAGCTGAGATGGGGGGTTGTTGATGATCTCGATGTTGCTTTATTCATTTTGATCTCTCTGAGACCAGCTTAGGAAATGTAGGAGAAAACTCCCTCGTTGAATTAGGAATCTGACTGATCTGTAGACATGGTGGTGGTGTCCTCTCTGGTGGTGTATGGGCGAAAGCGTGGTGATTGCAATGTTCATCTGTTGATATGTTGAGAGTCAATTTCATCTGACAATGAATGTACAAATCGATCTTAATGGAGCCATACTTTTTCTTCCAATTCTTGTTCCTGTTCTTCCAACTTCATTTTCATGGAAAGGAGTTGGGGTGTTTAGGAGGCCAATCTGATCACAAGAAAAGCCTCGACAGATATTTGTGATGGTGCATGGCTGAGATTTTTCTTGGCATTGTATTCAAATTCAGTTTCCTTTTGCTTGCACGGATTCAGATCATTTCTCACATCTTGCAATCACAATCTGCACGATTGGCCAGCGGCACATCGTGTTGATTCATCTTCTTCTGTTTGATTGATGATTACCCATCACACCAAAATTCCTTTTTCTTTGGGTGGGGTCAATCTTGAAATAGAAATCAAGGAGGGGAAAGAAACTATCTCCATGTTTGGAGGGTCAATTAATCTGAGTACGTGCAGGCCAACAGACTTCAGATGGAGACAGGACACATGGCGTGGCATGCATAAACCGAAGAAGAGTCAAGAGGGGCAGCAGCAGGCCATGTGGGTGGTTCTCCTGGCCGATGCAGTTCAACAGTATTCAATTCAAATGCCCTCAAGTTTGAACCTGGACTTCCATATTTTTTAAAACAAAAAGACATCCGAGTGGTTTCCAAAACAATTCTCTTTTATTTACTTTGGAGAAAGGATGGACCGTCCACTTTTTGTTGAGCTATTTTATTGAAGAACTCTGAGTTGTCGTCTCTTCTCCCAACTGTATGAAGCACAAGCTGGCATAAGCCCAAAGGATGAATGAGAGGAAGTCCAAGCTGTCTACATGAGAGCACTACCAAACGAAGAAGAGTCAGGTGACCACCCAAAAAGACAAAATTAAAGTAGCTCTCTTGGAGCCGTTGGGTGCATACAGATAGTTTGACCATCACTCTAAATTGTATTGTAGTTTCTGTTACTGATAACGTTCAGAAATTACTGCCTTTTAATAGTTCTAAAATGGCATAACTCGCATTTCTGATGGGAGAAAATTTGCTTTTGCAATAGACAGACACTAAGGTATTTTGTAATAAAATTCACATTTACTTTTCTATAAGAATTACTGACCACAATTTAAGAGTTACTTTTCGTATCGAAAAGTTATTAAACTTGTGGAAGAGTACTTATGATACAATTTGGTTTTTTTTTTTATAAAGAAAGTTAAGAATCAATGTGAAAAATTTACTTCTTGTGATATGTTGCAGTTTATTTTTCTCTGTGAAATGTTGCTGACCATTCTTAATAGTTTAATTGTCAACTGACAACCATGAGCAGGAAATGGAGCTAATCCTAGTAAATAAAAAGTTCAATGAGAGTCTAATTTACCGGAAGTAAAGACAAGGCAAATCTTGATGTTTTGGATCCCAAAAACATGACTGCTGGAGCTGATTAGATGGAGGAAAAGAACTACTAGAAACATAGGACATCAGAGGCGAGAGACTATCCTTCATTTGGTCCCTCTAAGTTAATAAAAGAATCGGAGGATAGATAACAGTCGTTTCTTCTAAATTCAACCAGCATGTTCAACTGATCTCTCTTGGCAGCATCAGGAAAATCAGTCAAATCTGTTTCTTATGCCCTGACTCCATGGAAGTCCTGCCAGGGAGATAGGCATAGATGACAATACTATGCTTCCATTTGTTTTGCGAAATAACATTTCCCAGGAAAACATTTTCTTCATTTTCCAGCATTTGGAACGCTTAGGAAATATGAGTCAATGGAAAATGTTTTCCTAGTAAACGGAAAAAAAGTTTTCCTAGTAAAGTTTAAATTAAGAAAAAATGATTTCCTCTTCAGAAAATGGTAAATTACTTTCCAAAATATGACTAGGTATGAGGGCTCAGACCAGAAATTTTGTGCTTAAGCACAGAAACGGCAATGCTCCTTCCCGGTCTCTGGGCAACGAGCTCGGATCCATCAAGATTGGGCCTGGAAGCCCGGCGGCCCGGCCCAGGTCCATCTAGGCCACGTACTAGACCTTGGGCACCGCACCTGGGTCCATCAAGGCCGAGCCCCGGCGCCTGTGCCCAAGTACCTGACTTCAGAGCTCGGGTTCATCGAGGCTGGGCCCAGGACTCCCGGGTCCCCCGCTCCTGCGCCCCTAGTCCGTCGATGTCAGGCTGGCCCGGGAGCTGAGGACCGAGGCCTGGCCTAGATGGACTCGGGCATGGGCGCCAAGGTCCTGGCCCCAACCTCGATGCACCTATGTCCGGTCACCTGAGCGCACTACCAAACGAAGAAGACTCAGGTGACCACCCAAGAAGACAAAATTTAAGTTGCTCCCTTGGAGCCGTTGGGTGCATTCGGATAGTGGAGCACACTGTATGCTTTGTGCGTAACCAATCCGTACTCCACTTTCTTTTTGTTAGTTGTATTTTTCTTGTTTTCCTATTCTTCGAACAATAGTTCATTGGTTTCTCCTCTCTTTCCAGCTCAAGACATTCTTTTTTCAGAGTCTTCGAGTTCACATGGTCATTGGCCAGTTAACTAACAAATCATTGACTATACACAATTTTGTTGGATGCTTTTCTGTCAATCTCGTCCTTAAAACACGGAATTATCGGGGTAAGTCAGCCGAACTTCTAGAGTTGCAACAGCACTCGAATATGTCCGAGCAAACACTGGAAAATTGGTGCTGCTATATCTCTAGATCTCATTAGAGATGACCACAGCTGGAATTATTTTTCTTTTTCGAAACATGGGGCGCCGGATCTTTTGGCTCACGTAATCCATGTATGTATGCAAACCTCTCAGTCATGCATCGATTAAGGATCTACCTCATCCAAAGTGCTTGACCACAGAACCAGCTCCCCAGGTTTAGATCAGAGATAATCACTTTCCTATCATACGAAGGATGACTCAATTCCACGTATCCCAAATAGAGTAACTCCTGTCCATTCCTAATTTGATGAATAATTTTTTAGGGGATTTTTCCAAAGTGCACTGCTGTTTATCTAGAAGATCTACAATCGACTAATCAAGTCACACACCGTCATCCCTAGATGACTGTACTACATGATAATGCATAAAATCAGTAATATGCAAGTTGTTGCTGATTATGGAAAAACACTTTGATGTAGGGCTAGTGTAGAATACAAATGCAATCCGAAGAGACAAGTGCAGAAAAACAAGATTCAATGCAATAGTTGCTGATGCATGGGTTACTGATCAATGAAGCAGACTTGAGACTTGGTCTTTGGAACTGATTGTTGCAAGTCATACAGACATAATAGAAAACAAGTAAACTGCAGCTGGTCACATGACCCGGCCAAATGAAGGGAACAAAAAACTACAGCTGGTCAAATCACATGGCGAAGAAGATAGAACATCACTATGTTCGTGATGGGAAAAGACAGAGGAGTATTTTGTGGTCGCCAAGAACAAAGCGACGGTGAATGGTAACTCAAAATAGAATTCAGTTCTTAACGTTGAACAGGGGAAAAAGGTCAGGTTGTGGTTCAGAAGCAAAAAGACAGTTGTAACTTCCATATCACCTCAAAACAATCGGGCCTGGATTGTTGTAATCAAATAGATTGCCCAATGAACATACTTGGCGTGTTCTGCTAGGTAATTCCGGGGGTTTCAGCAAGTTGCATCCAGAGAAATCCACTATGCTTAAGAATCTCAAGCCTCCAAGCCCCTGGAGCTCCATTAGTTTCCCACAATGTCGTACTCTTAGGTCTTCCAAGAGTTCTAAACCTGACAAATCTGGTAAGTTCTCAAGCATCTCGCACCATGAAATGTTAATAGATTTTAACTATCTCGCTCCGTCAAGCCCTGGAACCTCCACAAGTTCCGGACATTTCTTCAGTGTCAAGTGTTCTAAATCTTCAAATTCCGAAAGATCCGGAAGGTTTACAATTGACTTGCACTCTTCAATGTATAATGTTTTGCATGAAGAGAATTCCTCAAGTGCTTGGATATCACGGATCTTCTCACAGCCATTGATGCACAGATATTTCAAGGTTCCGGAGCATGGTAGGTCTGGTAATCTTTCCAAAGAACTACAGTCAGAGAGATTCAATTCTTCCAAGTGTTCAGCATTATAAAGGCCTGTTATTTCAACTAGCTTTGGGCAACTTCCAGCAGTTATTTTCTTCAGACCCTTTAAGTTAGAAAAGTCCGGTAAACTCTCAATGGAATTACACACAGAGATGTCTAGTTCTTCCAAGTATTCCCATCTATCAAGTCCTTGAATTCCAACCAGATTCCCACAAGCTGCAGCATCAAAATTCTTTAGAAATTTCAAGTTTGAAAGATCCGGTAATGTTTCTAATGCTGTACAACCCCGTATGATGATTGATCTTAATGAGACTAAACGTCCAAGGCCCTCAAGCTTATATAGCTTTTCACAAGATAATGCTGTCAAAGCAGTTAGGCACACAAGTTCTTCAAGCCCTTTGATTTCTGTTAATTCACAGCAACCGTGGAGATGCAATTCTGTTAAGCGTTTCAAATTTGACAAATCTGGAAATCTCTCCAAATTTGGACCTTGGTCAACTTCAAGCTTCAATAGACTTGAGGGAAGATCTGGGAGCCATTCAATTTTCTCATGAAGTTCGATATGGAATTCAGCAAGTTGGGAGAAGGTCTTCATCGTAGTTAAGGCACCCAAATCCTCGACTTTCATCGACAACTGTGTTAGATTGATTAGGTTGGCAATATCTGGGATTGTCGGACAGACGAGATGTAGACTAGTTAAGCTCGAGGGAAGCTCTGGCAGAGATTGTAGCTCTTTGCATTGCCCTAAATCAAGCTCTTGGAGACATGATAACTGGTGAAGGCTTTTGGGCAAACCGGAAATGCATGTCTTTTCTAACCGAAGGACTCGCAGTGAAGATAAATCCCCTACCTCACTAGGGATTTCTCCTTGCAGAGATTTACACTCTGAGGCATCTAACTCTTCAAGCTTCTTCAACCTTCCAATGGTTCTAGGTAAACTTTCTAAGAAAATATGAGTCATGAGCAGAACTTTCAAATTGTGTAGATCTCCGATGGAGTGGGGCAGTTCCTTGACACCCGATTTTGATAAACACAGTCGGGTTAAAGATGTCAACTTTCCAATGGAGTCGGGAAGTGTTTTCAATGAGTGGCATTGCTCTAGCGACAAGCTATGCAAGTTCCGGAGGGATCCTATAGAGCTGTCAATTCGTACCAGTGATCTACAATAACGAGCAGAAACAATCTCAAGCTTCCTCATGCGACCTATGGCCATGGGAATCTCTTTTATGGAACTACCATCAATAAGAAGCTCCCTCAAGTTTGTTAGTCCCCCCATTTCTTTAGGTAGCTCCTTGAGTTTCTCACATCCCCTCAAACTTAAGGATACGAGGTTCCTGATATTCCTGATAGAAGGATGAATTTTGACCAGATTAAGACAATATTCAAGATTCAAAATCTCAAGATTCTGGAGAGCTGAGAAGTCAGGAGTTTCAATCAACTTATTGCAGTGCAGAAGCCGTAGAACTTTGAGCTGGTTCGCGATCCACAACAAACACAATATAGCAACGTTAGCTCTTGAATTTATCATATACCTTGGAAAAGAAAAAAGAAGACAGAGATTTACCTTCTGTAATCCATTCACACGGTGCCATGCGTCCCAGTGTTCTGTGAGACCGCTGACTCTTACATTAAGAATAACCAAGTTCTCTGGATGAAAGTTTGTAGGGAAAAAAGACGTTGCACAGGCCATCCAATCAAGCCATCTTAATTTAGGAAGAAGGTCCTTGAAATCTCCCGTGACTTCTGCCTGCTGGATACGAAGGTACCTTAAGTTCGGCAGTTTTCTAAACTGCTCATTTGTTAAGCAGTATGGTTCAGAAAGCGAAGGAAAATACTTAAGATGGAGAGCCTCGATCTGATCCGTTCCCTGCAAGTGCCCAGAAACTGAGGAATAAGGGTGTTGCACAAGACCCAAATCTAGGCTAATGAAAAGTGTGACACATTATTCCATTTTTTCCATGTGTAAAATTTGGTATAATTGTACATCCATCCAATTTATAGCAGAACTCTAAGGATCATAAAAGCATTGATGCCAGTCATGCTCCATTACCATGTAGTGGGGTTCTTTGAATTAATCCAGTTCAAGGGCTTTCTAGTTTGACTGGCTTTTCTGGTTTTGATCAGTTTTCTTATAGGGGGTCAAACAGGACACAGCACATAACCTATACCCAGTTGAACCCATCGTGTGTGATTGTATCATGTAGCATCCTAACATATTATCCCACCGAATCAGAGAATGTCTAAACATGACTATACAAGTTAGGCCGGATGTCTACGCTTACTTATGGGGTATATTATGACACAGACACGATTTTATATGATTAGCTTGACCCCATATCAGCGGTATTGTGCCTAAACTGACGTGTCACAAATTTGCTAACTAGGAATATGAGCCTCCACACTTTTAGGGCACTTTTATAGCCTAAAAGAGGTAAGTAAAAAGTAGAGAGTAGAAAACATTGTACCTCATTCCTCTCTAGCACTTTCAAAGCTTCCTCATGAATCCATAATCTACTGCGTTCACTTGGTTTAACAGAGTTTTCCTTAAAAACAATTCTTCTACCAAGATCTCGCGATTGATCATGCATCCATAGCCTATTTCCCCTATTGCCATGGACAATTTTAACCAAGGACATGAGACTCAACACTTCTAGTCCCAAGTTTGGAGAGAAGCCACAGTCATCCCACATATAAATCGGAAGTCTTGGATCTGTTCCATTGAAAAAACATGCAATGTCGAGATATATTTGCTTCACATCATCGGTCAGTGCATCATAACTTATCTTCAGCTTCTCTTCAACCTTCTCAGAAGGCACTTCTCTCAACTTCTTTAATGTGTCTTTCCACGCTGCTTCACTTTTGTCGCACAAGAGTGACCCAATAACCTCAAGAGCCAATGGGAACTGCCCAGTAGTTGAGACAATATCACGACAAAGACCCTCGAAGGTTGGAGGGGGGAAGTCACGTTGAAATGCATGTCTACAAAATAGAACCGTAGAATTTTCGTCATCCAATCCCATAAGTTCATATGCCCAGTATGACGTCCCAAACTGATTAAGAATAGCCTTATCTCTGGTTGTAATAATGATCCTACTTCCAGAACCAAACAACTCATGCTTTCCCACGAGTGCCTCTAACTGATCTTTGTCACTCACATCATCAAGAAGAATGAGAACTCTTTTGCCTCCAAATCTGGAACTGATGATATTGATTCCGTGGTCTCTGTTAGAAACTTCGTGGGGGCTTCCTTTAAGAACTTCAGAGATCAGTTCCTTCTGCAAGTGCACAATTCCCTCACGTGATTCTGTTTCTCGGATATCTGCTAAGAATCCATGGCACTCAAATTGGCTCCACAGTTCATTGTAGATGACCTTGGCCAGAGTTGTTTTACCCGCACCACCCATTCCATGAATTCCAAGTATTCGAGTATCTCCAAATTTAGTATCTACTATAGTCATAATTTGTTTTACATGAATGTCCACTCCGACCAGGTGTGTAGGGTTCACTAACTTAAAAGCATTCTTTAACTCGCTCAAAACCTTTACAACAACGATTTTTATGAGTTCTGCCTCATTCCTGTCAAAATAGTGTTATAATTGAGATCACGAACAAAAATCTAAAGTAAATCTTGTTAGAACGAACTCAAATAACTAAGCGACGAGATGAATTGGCAAATTGATAATGGTCGATCATATAAACAACTAATGTACTTTGCCATAAAATAATCAGCTTATGTGGAAAAGGGATCTGGAAGTACCCATTAGCAATATTTTCGGATACCAATCCTTTCAAGGATCCAACTTCTTTTAGTGCTTGTCTCCATTCCTGGACAATGCTTTCCTCGAAACGTTTCTTGTATGAATTGAAGACATCTCCAAAGGTTCCTTTGAGCCATTTCACATCTGAGGGTTCAACTTTATAGAATATGGGCAAGATCACTTGTTTCATCTCTTTCTTGCACTTGAGCATCTGAACGAGCTCACGAAGGCACCATTTACTGGAAGCATAACATTCCGAAAGAACTGGGATCGAGATCTTACTATTGTTGATGGCCCGGAGAAGCTCGGGGCCGATCTCCTCTCCTAGAGGGAGTTCGTCATCATCTCTGAACACGCGAACTCGCGCTTCATGAAGTCGCTGGTATAAGTGGCTCGTGAAGCCCTTGCGAGAGTCTGGACCTCTGAAGCTTAAGAACACATCATAATCACATCCTGGAGCATCCGATGAAACTGGGGGCTTGGAAACCGGCTTCTCCACGAAGGTAATTGCCGTTCTGTTCATCTTCAGAAATTCTAAGAGGATGAAAACTGAAAGCAAGATCAATCGGGTGCGAAACCACTGCAAAAGAATGACAGATCTGACGATGCAGATTTCCTTTCTTTCTATAATGTACTAACGTTTTAAATTCAGTGGAGAGCAGGAGTGTGCAAAAGAATCGGGACCGCTCGGATCGGCCCGAGTAGTCATGGCCACGGGCCGGTTTTGGCCCGGAACCGGCCCGATCAAATCCGGGCCCGGCCGTTGACCGGGCCCGTGGTTCGGAACTGGAACCGGCCCGTGGCCTACGGGTCCGGTTCCAAATTATTTATAAAAAAAATTTCATTATTTAATTTTTTTTTATAAAACAAATTGAACTCTAATTACCATGCATTGTAAGTACATTGATATCCAATTGCAATGCTTAGCTTGGGTGTATTGAACTCTAATTACAATGTTTAGCTTGAGTTTTAGTCTCTTCATTCCCATTTGATGTGGGACTCTCGGTTTGCCTTAAACGCCTTCAATATGAGACTCTTGGCTTGTCTTCATGCAAATGCCAAGAGTCCCACATCGAATGGGAAATGAAGAGACCATCAAAGGGGTTGTTTATAAAATCCAAGCTAAGCCATGAGTATGCGAAGTTGTATGCATTTTGTGGCTACGATCCTTTGCTAGTTAAGAGCAAAGGGTTCCATTGGATCGCTTTAGAACCGGACCAGGACCAATGGTCCTGGCTCTGTCTCTATGGTTTGCCGGTCCGGTTCCTAATTCTAAAATTAAAAGACCGGTCTTATCGGTTCCGACCGGGAATCGATCACCCCTACAATTTTCATTTTATTATAATTTATATTGAATAATTCATTATTTCATATTTTTATAATTATTTATTTTTTTATTTCATAATTTATTTTTTTAATTTTTAAATTACGAACCGGAACCGGCCGGTTCCGAACCGGAACCGAAACCGCTAGGGGCGGTTCCGGTTCACACATGGCCACGAACCGGAACCGATCGGTTCCGAACCGTGGCCATGACTAGCCCCGGGACTGCCCGGAACCGGTGGTTCCCGGTTCCAATTTTTTGGAACCGGTGGGTACCGGTCCGATTCCCGGTGTGGAACTGCCCACCAGGACCGGATTGATAATATAATAATAATATATTTAATTTTTTTAAATTTTAATTAAAAAAATCTGACAAAAAAAATTTAAAAAAAGAAAAGAAAATGGGAGAGTTGTTGTTTTGTTTGCTTGCTGACTATTGTGAACTTGTGGCAAACTTCCACGTGTGATTTATAATATAGGCTACGAATGTATTTGATGTGAAGCTTGTGAAGTTGTGAACTTTGTGAGGAATCTTGTTGTGATGTGTAATTGAACTTTGTGGCAAATCTTGTTGTCATTGTTTCTGAAGGTTTTACGCTCATTCAATTTGTTAGCTTAAATGAGAGTCTCTTGACTCTTGAGGCTTGAGCAGGTTGTGTAGAAGCTTGGAAAGTTGTAGAGGGCAGTTCTGCATCAGACTATTTTAGATTAAAGTGCATGACTTCTGCATTAGACTAGTGAAATCAAATGCCAAAGTAGGGGTGTTCTATGTACACTGAAGATACATCACACATGTGCATTAAGGTAAGTTAAAGTAGCATGTGGTGAACACAACTCACCAATGGGCAAGAATTAGACTAGTTCATTTTTTGATTTGTCCAGGAAAACTTAGTGGGACTGGTTCCATGGACCCACCCAGGAACCGGACCAGACTGGCGGTCTGGTTCTCGGGTGGGTCCATGGAACCGACATGCGATTCTCGATTTCAATTTTTTGGAACCGGTCCTTAGCGGGCGGTCCACAGTTTCGGGGTAGGAATTGCCCACCTGGACCATGCTCATCCCTAGTGGAGAGAAACAAGTCAAGGTCCACACTCGAGGTGTCCCATCAGAGACGTACAAGACATCTGTTTCAGTAGTAGCTAGTTAACGTGGACAGGTCATACATGAAGATACACGTGAAAAACACATATGGAGTCCATCACCTCCACATATATCAAATAGTTTATTAAGTACATGTGTGACTTAGATTAAAAAAAAAATACCACATTTGAAAATTGATATGATATAAAACAGTCAATAATCATATTTGATCTATAACTCATTAGTTAAAAGTGGGTCTAACTGCTTGCGGGTTCGGACTTGGCCTTTCCTTTGATGTAGCATATATCTGAATTGAAGGGGAGTGAACTAATGCTGGGGTCACATGTAAGGGAAAGAATTCTGAGATTAGAAAAGTCTCACATCGAAGAATTTATGTGTTGTAAAATAGTTAATAATCACACTTAGCCCATTACTTATTCGTTTAATCTCTTAAGTAAGGATGGGCTTGGACATTTCTGATTAGTTTAACAGACAATACCAGGTGTGATGGGAATCTATCAGTTCTTTAACTTTGACCAAATATGCAATGTCATTATTAGACTTTTAATTCGTTCAACGTGATCCTTGAACTATTTTTAAATGTTTAATCTAGTCCCTAAACTTTCAATTTATTCAATATAGTCCTTGAATTTGCATAATAAAGTCAAATTAGTCATTATGTACTATCACAAGTATTAATAAGGGATAAGTACATTAGAAGTCCTAAAAATTGTCACAAAAAATGCAATTGAGTCCTAAAACTTTCAAAAGTATAATTAAGTCCTAAAACTTGTCATGAAAGTACAATCAAGTCCTAAAACTTTCAAAAAGTGCAATTAAATCCTAAAACTTTCAAAAAGTGCAATAAAAAGAAGAACTTAATTGGACTAACTCGACAAGTTTTAGGACTTAATTGCACTTTTTGAAAGTTTTAGGACTCAATTGCACTTTGTGACAAGTTTTAGGACTTAATTGCACTTTGTGACAAGTTTTAGGATTCAATTGCACTTTGATGACAAGTTTTAGTACTTTTAATGTACTTATCCCTATTCATAATTACACTGTTGCCCAGATTTTAGAATATCTGTTTCATTTCAATCCATTTCTTAAATCAATAAAAATATGCTATCTTTTTAATGCCTTTTTACTTTTTATGTGTTTATAATTATTACTATATTCTCACTTAAGTATATTTTAACTTAGGATCTCTATAATAATAAAAATATAACCCTATTTAAAGTTATATCAAATTCATATTCGTTTTATTTTAAAACAAAGTGCATAGATTTCTCGTATTTATATTAGTCTAAATCTTGTTCTTAATTTTTCATATATATAAAATTTTCAAGTTTTTGTGTTTCGTGTTTCCTTAATTAAATTTAGTTATCTGTAAATTAGGAAATTAAAATATTAGGAATATCAACCCGATACAACTTTAAATGAGGTTCTATTTTCATTATTAAAGAGATCATAAGCTAAAATATACTTAAAGAAATTCTCTCTCATCTTTTCTATAGCCATTTAATGTCTATCTTTTCGTTTTGGTACTCGTCGTTCATGATACTGTATCACAAAGAGAGTTATTAGATACCTTGCAGAAATATGCAAATATCAACTAAAAATCTTAAAGAAATTTGCAGTATTTTTTTTTTCAAGAATACATATCTAGAATTCCCTTGATTTATTATTTTTTTTTGGTACTCATCATTTACATCTATTGATGTTTAAAATTAAATACTGTTTCCAACTTTGTACAATTTAGTTTGTTTGTATCATGATCATCCATTCAATGAAAATGTTTATTTTACCTAGGTCCAACATATCTCACATCGGACATGAATATTACCAAGGAAAACCATCTAATGCTGGTAAAATAAATTAGAAAATACTCTTCTGGCGATTTGGTCTAAATTTCACAAGCACTATACTGTTCATGGAACACCTGTTTTTATTGTGTCCGTGGACGAAGGAAATTTGGTTGAACCCTATGTTGAATGTTCATATATCAAGTCATGGTCTTACTTGAATTGAAGATTGGTTTGGGAATTTGCAAGGAAAGTCAAGCAACTCACCTAATCTAGAGCTGGTTGCTGCAACACTATGAAAGGCGCGCAACCAAGCCATCTTCAAGAACAGAAAACCCGACACAATCAGCCTCATTGACTTTGTTCTGGCTGGGTTGAAGAGCTTTAACAGATGGAACCCCAAATCGAGTAGATCTGGGAACAAAGCCGACGATTTCTCATGGACTTGGAATCCACCGCTGGATGGAACTTATAAGATAAACATAGATGGAGTGTACGAACCTGGAGCTTCGGAAGGTTTGGTCGCTTGCGTTTGCCGTGATTCCGTCAGGAGGTTGCTGGACGGAGCAGCTCGTACGGTGGCAACGTCATTTGCACTGATGGCTGAGTCCCTCGCTTTTTTAGAAGCCCTAACTCGCTTCTTTCCCAAAAGACACAAAGTCCTTGTACTTGAGTTTGATAGTTTGGACTTAGTCAATGCCTTAGAGAGTCCAGATCAACTTAGTTGAGAAGCTCACGTGCTTATCTTGAAATGCAAAGATCTGTTACTATCCTTCTCTAGTATCCGGGTTATTCATCGTCCTAAGGAGGCCAACTTTATAGCGGACTGGGTTGCCAAAACCCACAAGAGAAACTGCCTACCTTTGAATTGGGTCTTGTCCCCTCCCCAAGTACTTTGGGAGCTCTTATATACTGATGCCCATCTATCGGCCCTACTATCCTTTCTTAGTGAATGATATTTTTCATTTTCTGACCAAAAAAAAATAAATACTGTTCATGGAACAAGAAACAATTCCTAAAAGGCATAACGAAAGGACGTGGAACAATTGCCAGAAACAGTCACCAGTTTCAACCAAAACAGATTGCAAAGATTTGCTTCGCTAACGAACTAGCCTAGAAAGAGACATATTATTGGAGAATACATACTAAGCGTTATTACATCGTTGAAGTTCTCTTCTTAGTGCCCTAAGCCAGCCAAGCCCACCTGAGCCAACATTTTCTCTCTCTCTCTCTAGCATAGGACAAATTTAGTTAGCTAACGGCCCAAAAAGCTCTTTGGAACAGTGTCAACATTCTCTTGAAATCAACCAAGACCAATATCACTCTCTAGGGAATTCCTATGACCCACTAGCATACACCCATTCCATATTCTATATTAATGCTTCACAG